CCACATAGTCTAGCTTCTACCAGTTCAGCGGGAAGGTAAGAAGGACTCAAACAACCGTCTTTCACAAAATGACAGCAAAACGAGGTGAAAGTTATTCCAGTATATTTTATGAAGAAAGTACTATCATTGTTCTTCAACACTCGTTGTCAAGTAACCCTATGCTAGAATCATAGTACTATGTACCAAGCCCCATCGGCACCGCCACACCCCTCGTCCCCGCAACCCTTGCCCCAATCGCCGAATAATCGCCGTCAGCCTCGCAACAATCAGACCACTTTCATCACTACACCCGCAGAAAACCGACAAGCAATTCCCCCCCAGCCCAACATTTTCCTTTTTGCTACTCCAATTATTACACCCAGCGCACTGCGCGACCCCAAAAATGAACACAGTAAACACCGCCGCAAAACCCTCGTTTCTCAATTTACTAACGTTCAATCCCCATAGGTAAAATCAGTCTAGTACGTCACCTCTCTCCATCTCTCATCCCCATACGTCCCCCAACCTCCCACACCCAACTAACCCCGACTCACCCACAGCTACGGCTGGGCAACCTTCATCGTCGCCGGCGGCGGCGCCTATTTCTTCGCCAAACGCAGCATCAACGCGGACCGAGCCCACAAAGCAGAGCTCGACCGACAAAAGCGCGCGCGCATCTACGAGCTGGAGCATGGCATTCAACCACCCACAACTACTCCTTTGAACCCGACGGCGCGGGCCGGATCAACGCAAGCGGCACCGCGTAGTGTGACGAGTGAATTGGGGCGGCTGCGGAGCGAAGGCGGGAGTAATGGCAATGGGGGAGGCATGGGACAGGTAGAGGGGAATCCGAGTGTGCAGGCGAGTCAGGATCCGGCACCTACAAGGCATGCGCCTGCGGATGAGGGGCAGAGGGTTGGAGAGAAGAGCAAGTACGAGGCTAGTGATGTGTATCGGAGTAGAAAGGGGGATCGGTTCTCATGAGCTACGAGTCGGTCGCATGTGCGGGAACGAAGTAGACCGGATGTACAATATATATATGTATACAAGCAAAGTTTTGATTGCAGACGGCTATCAAGACGTCACATTACAAAGGACTTTTGAGGCCTTTGTTCGTCGGGGGACGAGCTGCGATGGTTGATAGTAAAAGCAACAGGAGCGGCCGCCTCGAGCTACGGTACCAAAAGACTAAACAGATCCAAACGCCGGCGCAATATATCTGGGTATAGAACGTTCATGTTTCATCCCATACATGACCGATTATTCCTATCGCTTGCATTTCAAGCTATTAGCATCACCTCACAAAAAGAGATTGCTTTTTGGGCTGTCCCTTCGCTTCTCGTATAGCCACTTGTTGTTCAACCCTACGCTGGCCTTGCCAGTGGACGGTGTGGGTGTACCCGGGGTCACGCTGCTCGAACTATCACCAAACAGACTGCTGCTCATTGAACTATTGTAGCTCAAGCGCTTTGCTGCTGACCCGCTGAGGTTGAAGGGAGAGTTGGATGTTGAACCCCCCAGATTTGGGCGAGGACTGCCGTTGAACGGGGAGTAGTCTTGATTGCTGAAGCTGTTACTGCGTGGTGTGGATCGCTGGTAGCGAGGCGGCGTGACAAAGTTTGGAGAGGCATAGGCAGACCCTGGTGTCGGGGGCGCATGCACGTCTGCTTTGAGGCCCATCGAGGCGCGCTGCGAGGGAGTAAGAGGTATGTCGGCGATGTCATCGGGGTAGTAGCGGCGGACGAGTGGGAGGAATGCAATGACGATATTGGCTGCGAAGATGATTCGGACGGCGAGTATGGCCCATGCACTGAAGGGCACCGCTTTTACGACTGCGTTGATGGGGGCACTGGGGGCATGTTAGGGCCTGCAGGGCGCGCTGCTTGGAGGGCAATACTCACGCCGCATATCCCACCAGCTTCACTTTTTCGCTCACGCTTTGGCCGTATACCGAGAGAAATAGCAGGCCAGAGTTGAGCACAATAGCGCGCACATTGCGCTCGTCAAAGGTAGTAGCGTACTGGCGACGCGCAATCTCGTCAAACTGTGGATGTCGCCAGGAGCCGTTGGGCGTGGGCTGTTGCTCTGTCTGGGCAGATGGCGTCGTAGGCATGGGCGGCGTCGCCGAGTGCGTTTTTCGTGCAAGCGACATGGTGAGCTGCAGGTGGAGCTTGTGCGATGGGTGTTTGTTTGGCTCGAGGAGGGAGGCTCGCTGAAGGACAAAGCGCGAGTGTCACGTGCTTGGCTGTGGTGATGCTGCGGGGTTAGTAATCTATGTCTATGCCTAGATGCTCTTCAGTGAGACTCTAGGCTATAGTGACATGTTTGCAATGGCTGGGGTGGAGGGTGAATGCTAGTACATGGTGTGTTGGATAGCAACCATGTTTTGCCCAGGGCCCTCGGAGAACGGCGCGAGCGTTGGAGGAAGCGCGACAGGGGTCCCATGACTAGCCGCTCCCCCGCCGCCATCCCGCTGCTTGCTACTGCGCCTTCCACACCTTCACTCTCTTCCATGTGAACACAGCCATATCCAGCCATGACCGGAGTTGTCCAACAGATCGATGGGGCCATCGCGAGCCTCCTCAGCGGTTGGAATACCTACACTACCGTCATCGCCTTTTCTATAGTCGGCTTCCTCGGATGGATGGTCTACGACAACGCCGATGCCGATACCCACCCACTACTGCTCGCACGACAGGCCCAGGCTTCATACGTGAGGCAGCCGGGAGAGTCAGCCATCTTCAGGTCTCCCGAAACTCCCCATGGCTGTATGTTTGTTCCATGACTGCTGCTTCTATGCCTCCAACTAACCCCGCCAGACCCCCTCCGCACCGGCCTGGCCGTAAAAGCTCCGGGCGCTCCCATGTACTCTGCCGGCAAAGATGGCGATCTCCGTGATATCTGGCGACGTGTGACAGGCGAGATTCCCCTCGATAAGGGTGCTACATCCAGCGGTAGTGCACACATCATGACTGTCTTCGGCAAGGAAGGTGTCACCGAGCACCCACTTGAAGAAGTCACCAAGGAAATTGCTGTCATCGGGAAACATCTACAGGCTCGTAGCGCAAAGCGTGTTGCCGTCTATCTACCCAACAGCCTCGAGTTTCTCTGCACGCTCTTCGCCGGCGCCTTCTACGGCTTTACACCCATCCTGATCCCGTACAACCAACCCCACCAAACTCTCATTGAACTTCTCGTGCAAACAGGTGCCGACGCACTGATTGCCGAGGCCGGCTCCGTTCCCCTCTCAGACGTCAGCCAAGCCGTATCAGGCCTTCGTTCGATTGTCTGGACCGTAGAAAAGACCAGTAGGCATATGGATTGGAGCGAGGTACCCGAGGGCATTGGTGGCAAGGTCGATGTGGCTGTCTGGCATGAGCTTGTACAAGAGCACAAGAACAGCGCCGCTCCGCTCCCCACGACTTCTGAGAAGGCTCCTGGCATTGTCTTTCTTTGGCAAGAGGCCCCCGGAAAGCCTGCCGAGATTGTCGAATTCACGCAACAGGTACGTCCTTGCAGCAAAATGATATGACAGCCTCTCTAACAAGGACAGAATATTGTTGCTGCCACTGGCGCGCTCATTACATCTCTTCCGTCAATCCGCCGTCTCAATGCATCGGATACGTTCCTCCCTGCTGATGCCTTTACCCACTCGTATTGCCTGTGCTTGACTCTTGCAGCATTGTTTTCGCATGCGACCGTCATCATCCAATCTGTGGCTGGCCCGGGCGTTGATCTGACACTTGCTACTCGTTCCGTCGCTCCTACTGTCACTGTCGTATCTGCTGAGACTGCAGCAAAGCTTCATAGTACCACCAAGTCTTCTGCAATTGGTGCCGCTAAGAAGCTGGCCCATTACCTCGAGTCGCGCATGTTGGCTGCTGGCCGACTTCCTACTGACAGCTTTCTCACCAAGTTAAATGCCCCGGCCAGGGCGGAAATTGGCACCACGCCTGGCAAGTTGCGCCTGATGTTTGTTTCGGAACGACAAGGCTTGAACACCCCACCGCTGAGCTCGGAAGATCTGTCTGACCTTCGAATCTACACCAAGGCTCGCATTGTGTACGCTTTGACCACGGCCAAGGTGGCCGGGGCCGTGGCACAGACGAACATGTACGACTACCGAAGTGATTCGGCGTCGAACAAGCACAGTCATTTCGGTATTCCACTAAGCTGTGTTGAGATCAAGCTGAAGGACACTGCACAGCACAAGACTACCGACGAGCAAGTGGTTGGAGAGCTTGTTGTAGCTGGTTGGTCGGTAGCGGGTGGCCAGGTATCACTGGGAGTGAACGCCACTATCCGGGACGACCATACGTTGGCGTATGTATAGGTGCATGGTGAAAGTTGGTGAGGAGAGGGCGAATGTACACATACATATATCTAGAATAGTATATGGGTAGGAATCTAGGCCCAGGAGAATGCATCCTTCAGCACACAGGGGAATAAGTACCGTGCATACATACTATGTAAAGCTTACAATGAGAGGAGAAGCGGAGACTACTTGCTCGCGTGGAGAGGGACCCTCCGGGGCATTGGAGCCGAAGCGCCACCGAGCCGCGCCCTGCTAGTGCTAGTGTTGAGATGGCCGGGGTGTCTTATCTGCACCTTGGGATGCCTGGGCGAATGACAGGCGATGGCCAGGTGGTTGACTCGCCATCGACCAGTGGCACAGATGGCTGTGACTGGCTCTATACGAGAACTTACTTGAACCAGACACTCTGAGGCGTCGTCGGGCCCCTCGCCTAACCGTACTGACCTCTCCCCAACCCGTTCGTCCCCAGCTGTCAAGCAAATTAGACGGTTCCCTCATGCGCTTATCTTATCATCACCATGCCTTGATACGTATAACTAGTCGTGGTAACGGCCAAATGGACGGCGATCTGCCCCATACCCATGGTTGGCTTCCCATAGATAAAGACCTGTGCCCGTCCCTCTGTGCGCGACATCGAGGCCAGACGCTTCGCGACTCCAGTCAGTTCTTGACATTGCTCCGTCGGCAAGCTTGCCACTAGGTCATCATGCCTTTTATCGAGAAGCCGCATTGGACCATCAAGGTCGAGCAGCCTCGTAGTGCCTTTGCAGAGGGCAATGCGCGCTGGTAAGTAACAAACGCGCCCTTATCTAACATGGAGAGAGAAAAAAACTCTTGCTAACCTACTCAACTTCCACAGGACCAACAAAGACTTGGATCCTGTCCCGAGGCATGCCCGAAAGTGGGGTGTGACCAGTTTCATCTCGTACTGGATTTCGGATGCCTTCAAGTATGCGCCTCGAGACGAATGCGTCAACCGTGATTCTAACGGCATTGCAGTGCTGCAACATGGCAATTCGCATCCAGCATCATCGCAATTGGTACGCGATCTCCATGTCACTCGAATCCCCTTATTCTGACCACCCTGCACAGGTCTTACCTGGCGCGAATCCCTCGGCATAGTTGCCCTCGCCTTCTTCATGATCTCCTTCGTGATAGCACTCAACGGCGCAATTGGAGTCCTCCACCACGTCCCCTTTCCCGTCATTGCACGCGCCTCATGGGGCTTCTGGGGCTCCTACGTCGCCATCGTCTCCCGCGCCATTCTCGCCATTTTCTGGTTCGCCATTCAGAACATGAACGGTGCCAATTCGGTTCGCGTCATGATTGGCGCCATATGGCCTTCCTTCCTCACCCTCAAGAACGGTATTCCAGAGAGCCAGGGCATCGATACGGCCACCATGATTAGTTTCTTCATATTCTGGCTCGGAAGTTTGCCCTTTTTGGTCATGCATCCCAATCAGTTGAGGTGGCTGTTTATGGCAAAGAGTATCATTGTGCCTATTGCGTGGATCGCCATTCTCATCTGGGCCTTTGTTTCTACCGGTGGAGGCGGCGAGATGTTCAACCAAACTGCTACCCTCAAGGGAAGTGCGTATTCGTGGGGTTTCCTCTCGTCTCTGACTGCCGTTACTGGAAACTATGCCACGCTTTCCGTCAACCAGGTAGGCTTGTTCACTTCCAGCGTCAAAACTCTCAGATCTAACTTATTCGACAGTCGGATTTCTCGCGTTACTCGCGTGTCTCGGTGAAATGGCAATGCATCTACGTCCCGTTCCTTCCCCTGGTCTTCACCTTCATCGCCTTCATCGGAGTCGCTGCCACTTCCGCTGGTGCTGCTCAATACGGCGAAATCAACTGGGACCCCATGGCGCTCGTTGCACACTGGGACAACCGCGCGTGCCGTTTCTTCGCCGCCTTTAGTTTTGCCCTTGCCGCCCTGGGTGTGAACATCTCTGCCAACTCGCTCTCTGCCGCAAACGACCTCATGGCCCTATTCCCACAGTACATCAACATCCGCCGCGGTCAGCTCCTTTGCGCAATCCTCTGCTGGGCATTGGTACCCTGGAAGATTCTTGCTAGCGCCGGCAGCTTCCTCAACTTCATGGCTGCGTATGCCATTTTCTTGGGCCCCATTGCGGCAATCATGGTTATCGATTTCTGGGTCGTACATCGCGCCAAATACGACACGCTGGCGCTGTTCCAGTACAATGGTATCTACAGGTACACGGCTGGTGTCAATTGGCGTGCCATTGCCGCTTTTCTCGTTGGCGTTGCACCAAACTTGCCTGGTTTCATCCACTCTATCAACCACAAGATCGACGTTGGCGTGGGCGCGAGACCGTACAGCTTTGGCTGGATGCTGGGCTTCGTGGGCACGGCTCTCGTATACATGTTGCTTGAGATGATGATTGCGCCGCCAACGGAGACTCTTATCGAGAAGCCTGTATATCCCGATGAGATTTACGATGAGAGTGGATACGTGGATGAAGGCGTTAGTGTGGGCAGTGGAACTGAAGAGGCCAGGAATGAGAAGATTGGGTGGAAGGCGAGAATGAATCGCATCTTGTAGAGTAACAGGGGGCTGAAATGAGTGTTCAAGTTGGTGTCATAAATCTTTTGAAGTCATTGACTACTTTATACGAACAAACATCGAATGAGGGTATTTTATCATGAACCAAATTCCGCAACAAGACTCTTAGCCTTTCCAAACGAACGCACTCCTTCCATCCCATCCCCATCTCCATCTCTTACAACCCCATCACAACTCCCACCAAACCCGCAACCCCAACCACCGCCCCAACACCCACCTGTGCCTTCCCCCCAGCACCCTGCTGCTCCTGTGGCTCCGCACTCGCCGCCGCAACCTGCAACCCATACGCCGTCGACGTCGCCACAACTCCGCTCACCGTCGTCGTGACGACGCTCGTCGCCGTCGTACTCGCCGTGCACCCCTCCCAACTCGTCCACGGTGCAGACGTACTCCACGGGCCGGCCGTCCACCCAGGCCACTCAGACGGCGGACACTTGGTGCCGCCCCACCACGCCGTCCAGGGCTCGGAGCGCCAGTCCGAGCGCGTAGCCCAGTCGCTGTACGGACCGTAGTTGGAACTGCCCCAGGGACCAACGCCATCGGGACCTGCAGTGTACACATAAAATCAGCATTTTTCTTTTTATGTTGCAAATGGGTTTATAGAAGGATAGCGGACGTACCACCCCAGTGCCTTCCTGGGCCACCGCCAGGACCGAAACCAGGACCGCCCCAGGGACCTTGTCCCGGGCCCCAACTACCAGTTGGCCAGGGTGCGGCGGTCAGGGTCGAAGGGATTTTGCCGTCGGAGAGGAGGGAATTGTATATCGAGGACCATTTTGCTGGGTCGTCTGAGGCCCAGGGGGGACCGGTTTCGTACCAAGCTGCTGTGGAAGTCGGGGTTGGAGCTGGAGTGATTGTTTGGGCGAGGAGAGGGGAGATGAGGGCTGTGAGGGTGGTTGGGAGGAGGAATCTCATCGTGTTCTGTATGCAGTTCTTGGTCTGTCTTCCTTTGGTGTGTGTGTGTGTGTGTGGTTGAAGAACTCTGATAGAAGAGACTACCACTACTTACCAGTATTAATGCTACTTTCCTTCTCTTCAAATACTCATCTTAAACTGACGTACGCGGCCTACGAGGCTAATCGACGCCATGCCGTCTTACCATGCAGTTTCCCCCCCATGATGGGCACCCATTATCCGGAGGGGTCCCGCAAGGGAAAAAGGGATAGAGGCTGAGCAGACGTAGCGTGCGTTTTGCTTGGAAAGCACACTATAGCGCGTCAGAGAACTTTGTAGCCAAAGTGCTTCAAGTCGGAAATCGACAGCCCATCACCGCGCTTACGCGTTCCATGGGACTTGCGTAGACCGTCTCGGATTTCATAGCGTGCACATGTTGTGCAATTGGCTGAGAGGGTACATCATGCAGGGCGAGATATCAGCCCTATGCATGCCACCAGGACGCGGTGTGATGACTTGTTTTGCGCAGTACCGATTGTAGTGGGTTTATCTAATTGGACAAATATGTGCCACAAGGCAATGGCTTCGCTGTAAGAGGTAAGAGGTGGGCTTTGCGAGAGCGCATGCTAGATGTACGTAGATGGTTTCGGAGAATGAGAGCGGGGAGAAATCACGGCAGAGGAACACGCGAAATGTTGTATCACCGTGCGTTGCGTAGGCCATTTGCCATGTTAGTATCGAGCTTGAAACGTCGAGTCGAACTGCTACCACAAGATGGTTGATGAAGTGTTGCTTTTTTTCTTTGTTCCTCCCTGTTCCTGGGAAGGGTGGTTTGGATATGGATATGGTCGTTTGTGAAGCTAGTGTGCTGGGGTAGGCAAATGCGGAAATCCCGCTTGTCGATCAGCCGGCGAGGACGGAGATTCAAACGCCGATGCCATGCTTACTCTTGAGCCAGATCATCGCCAAAGGACACCACTTACAACACATCTCATGACTTGCACGTGTCACCATCGGTGGCCTTGAAGTAAGCAGGCATGGCTACGCAACCCGTTTTTCTCTCATTACGTGGCATGCATATCGTCAAGACTGATCAGGACGTGAAGAATGCGTTTCTCCAAGATTGTACACGGACACATGAGAAGCGACATTGTGTTCCGTGTGCTAAGTCGCATTCAATCACATTGTGGTTACGATTCCAATCTGGGAAAGGCTTGATACATATGTGCCGGATTTCTTGCATCTGAGTGCCGGCTTGTATGCAGCAAGAGCCGAATGAATTGCTTCTGTGGAACGTGTGAACTGCACTGGATGCTTCAGAACGCCGTCACACTGCATGCAGAATGTAGGGAACAAGAATTCCCGCTCTGGTCTCTCAAAATTGTGCCAATTGCCAGACGCTGACTATCCTCTAATTCACATCGGGTAATCGCACGGCAATATCGCCTGACTGTGTGATGTAGCGCACCCAGGGCAATGATGGGTATTGCAGCTGTATCAGTGTTAGTAACTCATGTGCGAAGCCATTTACCAAGTGAACTTACCTTGGGCTCGATAATCTTCAGATACCGTACTTGGATACCCGAAGTAGTAAAGTACGGAATCTCAAACTTGACGTTGATGGGCCTCTTTGCTTTGCCAGCGCCAACTCCCCCCATACTGCCACCAAAACCACCCATCATACCACCGCCCTTCTCGTCATCACCACGAACAGACGGCAGGCCTAGTTCAGCGCGCATGAGAAATTCCTTGCCGCCTCCAAACTGCTTAATCTTCCACACAATGGAGGATGTTTCTGGTGCGTAGTGGACCGTGCCGATATTTGTTCGAAACCGTGGTGTGTCTGCGTCTTCTGGAACGGGTATCGAAATTTGGACATTATTCGCTGTACTTCGTCGCTTAAACTGTGCTCGTGCCTGGAATGTGTTAGCACAGTATTCTTATCGTTGAAGCGCAAATGTTTACCTTTAACATGTATTCTATTCTGCTGCCCGAGTGGCTCTCTACTATGCACTCGACCCAGATGAGGGGCTTGACTTGTGTGTTCAATCGGTAGCTCATGAGCTCAAACTCACCGTCCGGTGGAATAAAGCTGATGGTTCGATCGTTTTCAAATCTTGATAAGCGCACGCATTGGTGAAACTTGACGTCCTCCATCTCGACGGCCTTTCCTCGCGTGGCTCTTCCTGTGCTCTCAAACATGGCCTTATCGTTCAGTCCCAGTCGTAGTTCAGGCATACCTGAGAGGTAACACTTCATCTTGACAGCACCCAGAATTTCTGATCGCAACACGCTGCCGGTCGCAGAGACGAGCAGGTTAAGAGATTCGATAACATCGAGGAAAACTTCGTTCTTGCGGTATCGAATGCCTTCGCTTCGCCAGCTGACGGCGTTTGTGACTGCAATAGGCGGCCGTGCAATTTCGAGCTTGTGCGATTCTTGAGTGATGTACCTGCGCAGAAACTATGTCAGGAACGAATCGCATGATCAAGAACTGGGCATCATACTCTTGTAAGATCTTTGTTTCGGTCGTTTGTGGGTATCCAAAGTCCATCATCTCATCCAGCAGCTCGTAGATGACGACAAAGTTATCCCTTATACTCTCTTCCTCGAGCTCCTTGAAGTACTCTGTAAAGACCTCGACAACCTTGTGCAGGAACAAAAGAATCTCGGCGGCATTTGTGTTGCGTTTTGTAAGGGCGAGAAGGTAGAGGTTGTTGTGGCGGATGTAGAGGTAGTTGATTCCTTCGCTGGAAAAGCATGGTGGGACAGCTGAGCTCTCGTCTTCGGCCTCGCTGAGTAGAACAGGAAACTTTTCAACCGCTGACATGGGAATATCTCCCCGGTAGTTGCGCGCCAAAAGGGTCTACGTACTGGTTAGTATATAGCATTACTCCGGCCTTGACCACCCTACCTTGCCCTTGAGGTCGAGAAAGAAGACGGCCGACGCCATTGTGTGGAATTGTAGATGCTGCAGGGACGAGGACAGAAAAAAAGCAGCTATCTAAGCATCATGCGCGATCAAAGTGCAATTGAGGGGTATTGATGCCTTGTCCTGTCGCGTCTCGGTGATGCCAGAGTACGTGCGGCTCTTCCCGTCTGCCAAGACCCCTTTGAGCGCTAGTCTCCTCCAGGCCTCAGTGCTCCCACTCTTGCACGGTAGAGCGAAAGACAAACATTCTGTATCAGGACACAATCTTTCCAGTTTCATAAGGTTCTCACCCAAAATGGTTCTCAAAGCCAAGAAGACTGGGTCTTGATGATTTGAGCAACTGAATCAATGTGCCGCACCTCGGTGCTCCAGCAAAGTCTCATGTTGCATACGTAGTAGGTCGTGCTGCACTTGATTGCTGCTACCATCTTCTTCGATGTCGCGGAACCAAGAGCTATGCCCAACGCACATATCGATAGCGCTTGTTCACAGTCTGCATGTCAACTTGTCTATGTTTCAAGAGTGCTTGTGTGAATGTGAGGGGCAATTCCACGAATCCAATGGCAAAGATTACTACACGAGGAACTGGTCCTATGCAATTCAAGGTTCTCACTGCACGGCCCCCATGAAAGAAATGGTCGAAAGCAGCAATCTCAAGTAATAGCTAGAACATTACCTTTCCCTTTTCAGGTATCGTGTCTGTTTAATAGTAATGCACCGCGTAAGTGTATTGCCTCGATCTCAGGGACTGCAACTGCTCAGGAATCATGTTGTCTTGTTTACTCATCTTTACGTAGTAGTAATTGAACCCTTAGCATGTTCGCAAAGTCTAGAAATGTTCTCAAAGAAGCATTTGCGCTCCACTTCTATACTCCTCTCGGCACCACCTGCGCTTTCATCACGTGTGCACAAACAGTCCGCCCCGCTCGCTTTCACACCAGCGGAAGGAGTAAAGAAGCACCTGCTTGGCTGTGTCACCTCTACTAAATCTCCTCTCTGATCCAAACGCACTCACTGCAACCAGCTTCGAAAGACAACCCAAATGCTGCAAGTATGTCGCATCAGTCAAATGAATACAGTTCGGAAGCACGCCACGCGTGGGTACGCGAGCAAGGTGAGTGCCTAACTCTCGGTCAAATCAGTTGCTCGACTGCTTGCTATTTCTATAGCGGTACCCTCCTACTAACGCAGGACAGCGGCGTATCAGCGAGTGCGTCTGCGCGTGCGCATCCTTGAAGATGTATGCAGGCTCGCACAAGAAGACGATCAGCTAGGGAACGTACTGTGCATAGCGCCGGACATACTGCGTAGACTTGAGAAGCACCAATTCCCGTATCCGTTGCGTCTCGAGGGTCTGAATGATGCACAAGTTGTTGAGGAAGCTATTGCCGCTCGAAAGTGGTTATTTGCTGTACTCGATTGTCAAATCAAGGTCATGCCGCGGGAGCAAGAGATGCTAACAATCAAGCTCGCTGTCGGAAAGCAACTCAAAGGTCAACAGGGAGACTGGACCGAGAAGGAGAGGCTGTATATGGCTCTCACAGACTACAGTCTTCCTTCACGCGAGAGCCGTTTGCAGGCTGGATTTATGGTGGTGCTGCATTGCAATCTTGCAGAACATTTGCAGGATATTGTCAAGCTTGGTGCAATATATACTGAGCGCCTCCAGCGCTTGTCAGACGAGGCCGCCGACTTCCTAGATACGCTAACACATATTGCGGACAAAGCAGAGTCCATCGTAGTCGACCACTTTGCTTGCGCTATACCCTTGGCGCAGCTTGCTACTACTGCGAATGACACCCCTGTTATCGGTCATGACACTGCTGCGTGTTGTCCAATATGCCAGAATCCTTACACCGCCCTCTCCGAATTCCCGATCTGTGTGCTTCTGGATGACTATCCAGTGCGGATCAAGCATTGTGGGCATATCGTCGGCAAAGCTTGCCTTGAGCAGTGGATGATGACGCCAAAAATCGACGAGGCCAAATACCCCCACCGCACGTGTCCACTGTGTCGGGTCAAGGTGGAAGGGGTAAAGTGTCCGGAGACGCCCCGAGCTTTAAAGAAGCATTTCCAAGAGGACCGAAGAGCTATGGAAGCTCTCCACGAGCTGATCTATGGCTTTGGTGTGGAGCTGGAGGACTGCATGAGTGCGGTGGCTCAGTGCATGAGCGAGGAGATTGCGTGCATTGAGCTTTTGGCTGTGGTTGCACGCACCGGCAGCAACAAGGAGCAGTCTGAAGTGCTGAAGAGGAAGCTAAAGGAACTGCAAAAGGAGAAGCGGGTATGGGGCTTCAGAGGAGAGGGAGCATGGAGCAGGTTGAGCGAAGAGTGGATGAACAGCGGCGTTGTCCGAGGGGCATGAGGCATTTTATTCTGGCACCATGTTCCTTCGACCAAGGAGGTGTGGAGGATAGGCAGCTGTAGAGGGATGTTTTGAGTAATGATAACGACGGGTCGGGTCAGGAGACAATGGACACCGGTGGGTGGAGTGGGTGTTGGGATGGCCCTGGATGGGAGATTTGGTGTCTCCGCCGTCGGTTGAGGCAGTGCAAGTAAGTGCAAGCAAGAGACTAGTCGATGAGCCATTTTCAACAAGAGCGTCCAGCTCGTTTTGTGCATATGTCCATATTTCCAAGCCGATCCGCTCAAAAGCCAAGAAAGCAGCGGATCTACAGCGGACACGAAAGAACGCATCAAGTGATCAGCGAGCCTACACGGTTGATAGACGGCGGAGGGCCTGGATTGGCAGGTGTTGCTACACGGCCCGCCTGCGATGGAGTCTACTCGGCATACACGCTCACGAGCACGGGGTTGCTCAACACGGACAATGTCCGCAGGCGTAAAGCGTAAAGGCCATGGTGGCTGGGCGCGGGGAAATGGACGCATCACGTGCCCGTCTGGACCCTCGTTTCGTCCGCAGACTCCGCCATGCTGACCCCCCTCACCCCTCCCATTCCAGCGAGAGATGAACTAGTCGCCGTCTAAGGCTGAGTCGAATATTGTTATCGTGCAGTAATCGGGTCTAGGCGCGGGCAGCCCCCGGATTGGACCCACCCAGCACCGGGTACACCTGTTGAGCGGGCGTATGACGTCGGGGCTGTGAAGTCGCGTATAGGTGCATCGCGCGAATTGCCACAGGCAGTCCCTGGGCACGGCTTGGCCTTATGACGATTTATGATTGTTTGTAAAAGCAAACGCGACCTCTTCCCTTTCTCAGTTTCAAATCATTGCATTTGCTTTCTCCAATTCTACTCCGCAAAAAAGCAACTCCACAAGCCACAGCCGTCCACTATGAGCGTCAACGTAATTGACGTCGGCGTCAGCAGGGTGCGTGCCTTGCCCCTTGCATGCTACCATTGCCGACATAGCCATTTCCCCGATCGGCACTTGCTAACCTCCCCCACAGATTTCTGGTGCCCGCGAACACCAGGAAGACAGATACATCACTCTCCTCCCCGGCTCCATCAAATCTCGGAAAGATCTCGCAATCTTCGCAGTCTACGATGGCCAGTAAGAACCCTGTCCAACCACTAGCCACTGTGGCGTTGAGGCTGACTGTTCGGCCCACAGCGGAGGCACAGAAGTCGTGAACCATGTGGCGCAGCATCTCCACATACATCTCGAACAGCACTTGACACGCCCGAAAGCATCGAGCGTTGCAGAGTACAAGCATGCAATCCAGTGCGCTCTAAAGGCTGTAGATCGTGAACTTGATCAGGCCGATCTGCATGGCGGCTCAACAGTAGCCCTAGTTCTCGTGGACACCAAGCAAAATCTCCTTATCCAGGCAAACCTAGGCGACAGCCATTGCTACTATGCCGAGCATGACGCCCGCTCTCCACAGTCACTCTCCCCCCATTCGCCCGCACGGTCAGACTCGAGCATGGGCTGGAACGTTGAAGCCCTAAGCGTAGAACACACACCAGACAGCCCATTGGAGAAGCGAAGAATAGAAGAGTCGGGTGGCGCAATCAACTACACATCTGGAATCGCCCGTATCGGCGGTATCAGCATGTCCCGTGCGCTCGGCGACCTCGACCTGAAGAAGCCACGCGTCAATCGCCTCGCTGGCCATGACCTTTCAGATCTGGTTGGAGTAGAAACTGGCCTTGCACCAGGAAAGGCTGCAAAGCACGACCTCGTGTCCAACAAAGCTCATTTCTCAGTACGGACTCTTAACGGCCAATCCCTTATCCTCTTAGCATCTGATGGTGTTGGTGGAGCGCGCGAGGCAGAAGTAGCTACACAGTTGGCTGTAGACAGGTGGCAACAGGGCAAGGAGGCAAAGGAAATTGCTGAGGAACTGACACAAAAGGAGGGCCAAATGAAGGGTGCAGACAATTGCACAGTCATGGTAGTGGTGTTGGACACAGAAAACAAGGGTCGCAGGAGTATAGACAGCGGGAGAAGAAGTTTTGACGTTTCTTCAGAACGAAGTAGTTCGAGGCGAAGAAGACGATCCAGCATTTCGAGTTTGAAAGACTGGATACGCGACCTTTAAGCTGCCGGTGCCACATCGGATATTTTTTCATTGTCAACAAAAATGTCGACACCGTTGAGGGAGGGACAAGATGGAGGCATTATTCTTCAAGCTGCTCAAAAATCATGCGGGCCATGAGGTTGGAGCTGGCGTACCATAGGCAAAAAGCGCCCGTAGTCTTGTTTAACCTTTACTGCATGTTGCACTCTAGCCATTGATAACAAGAAAAGAATTAAAAAAAATCCAAAGTTTGAATTGTCCATGAGAGCCCACTTGGTTGCTGAATGTCTCCTTCATCCCTGAATTCAAACTAAATTACCTGGAGAAGTGAGACTTGGTTGTCTTCACACATCTCATTTCATTTCTTTCACCACGGAATGGAAAATGCATGAACATCTGACGCTCTTTAAACACACAAGAAGGAAATTATACAAAACTTATAATTGTCAACGTCTGTCTCTACGTGCTAGAAAACATAGTGTAACGAGAAGCTGTCTCTTCTAGACTCTTAGACTATCTACAATGTACTTTTATTTCTGGGCCATTGATACTTGGTTGAAACCCATTTGGTTGCAGAGCTCTCTCGCCCCCCTGCCGATTGGCCAGTCTTTAAGCCCCAAATATCTTCAACGCATTATTTCCCCAATTGTATCTCAACGCTCTAGCTATGGCAACGAACAGAACCATTTGGGACCCTGAAACCAATACTACGAAAACTACCGTTGTCGGTAGCGTTTATGTGTGGTCAGCCCGCAGCATCTTGCTGTTTTGTGATAGCGCCCTGTCGCAGCCTATGCAAAGCCGCAGAAGCAATGACTTCAGCTAAGCTGAAGCAACAAGCCACCATAACAGCTACAAGAATGCACTGCATCTCATCATGTAGGGACGGATGTTAAAGAAGTCATCATCTGTTCTATTGTAGTTCCGATTGCTGCCTGGATGAATGGGATGTGAAGCCAGAAGCCTTGGGCAGGTGACGCAGAATACTCAAGATAATGGAAGTGATTCACAGCTGCCTCACTCTCTTCCAAAACGAGCAAAAAATGGATGAAATCCAGTCCTTAAAGCCAAAATTTTCACACACATATACACATCACCACTACAATCAACAACCCCCTATCCAAAGGCCAACCTCAAAAACAATGATAACCCGCCAACAAAACTTCGACTACACGACCACGGTGTCCAAAGGCCGCACCCTAATCACCCTAATGCGCACCACCGACGACGAAGCCTCGCTCCTTCAAACCGCCCAAAGCGCCTTCCTCTCCCCCTCCGCCCTCTCCCAATCCGGCTACGAAAGAACGCGCTTCACCCTCACCCCTTCCTCTCCGCTATACGACCTCCAAAAATCCCTCGGCATAGATCCTTCCACCAACACCGCAATTGGGCACTCGCACCTCGAATCCGGAGTTAGAGACGGGGCGTACGTACCTGCGACGTGGGCGAAGTTTAATACGGTTATCAACGCGGCAGCGGGCATGCTTGTAGCGGTTGACAACGAGTCGCCCACGCAGATTCTCCTTCGGGAGGGAGCCGGGCGAGATGGCGGCAAAAGCAGGCAAAGTGCGACATTGCCCGAGTTGAAGTACTGGTCTGATGTCGTGTTTCTGCAGTGGCAGATTGTTACGGGAGGTAATGCGAACTTGCAGTTTGTAGTTAGACTGGGAATTACGAATGGGGCTACACTCGATGTTCTGCAGCATGTTCTGCGGAAAGGTGGGGTGGTGGTGGAGGAGGGGGTGGTGGTGAAGGGGAGAGATGTTGTTTGGACGGTGAGGGAGGATGAGGAGGCTGTGGCGGCGATTCTGGGGACGCCGAATGGGAGTGGGGTGGCGAGGTTGCTATTACATCATAAGAGGGAGTTGGGGCATAAGGTTGTAGAGGAGGTGAGGTTGGTGGAGTGGAAGGGGGAGGGGGTGGGGGAGCCGAGCTTGGTGTTTCGGATTGGAAATTTGTATCGAGAGGGGGATGGCGGGAGTCAGGAGACGGTTAGAGGCGGGAGTTCTGTGTAGTATTAGGGAGTGAGTGTTTGCATGATTGAGTTTTAGCGGATCTCGTTGTATTCGGGCGTTGTTCTGGCCGCTCTACAATGCACTGATGGGTGACCGATATTTAATAAAGTGAGTGTCAGTTAGTTCTGCAATAAAAAAATCCCTATATCTTTAATCATTGACAGAAACTAAATGTCGTGTTCATTTTCGTCCTCCTGTGACTTGCCCAACATCCACCCCGGACCTATTCTCCTGCCCACTCTCCTTCACACTCCGCTCCACGCTATCAAGAAGACTCTCACTCCCTGTCTTAATACCCACATTGCTACTACCCTCATACTCTTGCTTCGTGTTCTGCGTCAGGTCTTCTCCGCGACGCTGCTCAGAGGTATCTGAGGCGTTTTGTTGGCCGTATGGAGACTACATGTAGGTGCTTAGTACGTATGTATATGGAAACGTCACGTGAAGATCAAGTAGAATGTTGCAATTATGTAGATGCCAGACGTACCTTATCCACTGAAGTACTTAAACCAGCAGGATCCGTTGAGCCCCCAGTCTTGAATGGGACGCTGGGGTCGTCTTTGAAGGTGCCGGATGTATCGTCGCCGGGATTGACGGGGTTCTGGGGTTGCGTGTTGGAAGATTCTTGGGCAGCGAGGGACGACATGGTGAACTTGTGTGGTTGGATATTTTGGATGATTTGGTTTCAAACTCCGCTTGGTTTGGTAAATTTGGAAGATGAGTTTCAAACGTTTTTGAGTATTCTACAAGGTTGGATTTCGGTAAGATGTAGTTGTGACGATGTTGTGGATCAAACGTCATAGTGACCAAGAACATGTGGACAGACCCTGAGATTAAGGATTCATTCCACACTACGGTAGGAATACATGAAAAGCACTTTTTGATTCGCAGTGGTTTGTTCCAAATAAATTATTCGTGAAAAAATTCAGAATTGTTAACATACGGTAAAACTACAAGCTATTTTCTAAGCACGATCATCGCTTGAAATACCAAAATCTATTGTCTAGTCCTCTACAATTTGCTCTTAGCGACCGAAGCATCATCAGGAACAAACAGCGATTGTGACTTCTTCATCGTCTCGATGGCTTCCCGCTCAATGCGGTTGATAAGCTCCTCGTTGGTGGGAATGTCGTGGATAAGTCCAATGACTTGGCCAGCAGTCCAGACCTAAGAATGTCAATAATCGTCCAAGCAGAAAAGCGCATTCTTTACTTACACCAAAGTCCTTGTCGCCATTCAAGAAGACCTGTCGGCCACGCTTACCGCTCACAAACTCGGCTACCTCCTCGAACTTGCCTGTTGGGCTGGTCTTCTCAACATCGACCGCCTGCAGAGCAACCTTGTTCGCGAACAAACGGGAGGTGTTTTTCCATCGTCGAAGGACCAAAGTGGTGTCTGTTTCCTGAGCATCCACGATGGCTTGCTTGATGTTCTGGTGGATAGGAGCCTCAACGGTGCACATAAATCGAGTACCCATGTTGATACCGCACGCGCCGAGGGCAAGCGCAGCAGCCAAACCCTGGCCATCAGCAAATCCTCCTGAAGCGATGAACGGTACACCGAGCGACTGGCGGGCCCTGCTGAGCAGAATGAAGTTGGTAATGTCCGTCTCACCAACGTGGCCGGCGCACTCGAAGCCGTCGATGGACAGGAAGTCAACACCGAGCTTAACAGCAGACTGTGCATGCCTGATGGTAGTGCACTTGTGTAGGATGATTGTGCCAGCAGCCTTCAGTTGCTTGATAACCGGGCCAGGGCTGTTCCCTGCCGTCTCGACAATGTTGACCTTCTCTTCGATGATGACACGGGCGTACGCGGCATAGTCCGGGGGCACCATGGCGGGAAGGAGAGTCAGGTTGACACCAAAGGGCTTTTTGGTCATAGTTCGGCATCGTCGAATCTCCTTGCGAAGGTCTTCGGGGGTTGGTTGGGTGAGGGCGGTCAACTATGGGCATGGTAAGGAACGACATCTTGAGATGGTGATATGGTGGATGCATACTATTCCAAGACCACCTGCGTTGCTGACAGCCGAAGCAAGCTCAGCATATCCCACCCATTGCATGCCTCCCTGCACAACAGGGACTGTTCGCTGTTAGCAATCATACGTCTAAAGCGCAGTTGAAGGTGAGCGTGCGTACCTCTGATGCCGAGGGCCCTCGTAAGTTCGGTGTTAAAAGGCATGTTGAGCGCACAGTTAGGTCACAGTAAGATTCAGTGACGGGTATAAAAGATGAAGCGACCGCTGGATGCAAGAATTTAGGAAGAAAGATATCCAAAACGTGGAGGCGCGACGCGGAGACGTCCGCGCCGGCTGGGGCGTGGCAGGTCGTGTGGGGAAGCCATGTGCCTCGGCAATTTGGACAACGCGACGCCAAACCCAGGTAAATGTCCGTCAGATGATTACTTTTGCCGCTCGACACGGTTGAATCGCCGGGTACAATTTCTTTTGGGAATGGAGTGCCTTCGCCTCATGAATAAGATTGCCGGTGTGTTCAGCAGCGAAAGTCATCGGGGAACATCTATCACATGCTTCTTGGCACTTTTCAGCAGCCAGCATTCTATACATTTACCTCACTATGCTCAGCGAAATACATGGTAACCGTAGTTTTTTGTTGACGAGATAAAATCTACAATTATGTGTTCTACTAGATATTACACTTATCCCAGTGGTATTTCGTGCGAGAAGAAATGCCGATCAAAGTATAACTACGTACGCAGTACAACAAATCAAACATACTATGTTTAAACCGTACGAAACGGCGCCTCTATACATAACTGGGAGTTCTTAACTAGGCCAAATATCCCAAACCTTTGAACACTATGAGCGCAGCTTTTCAAGCCCGAACTTTTTAGAAAAGTAGCGGTCCTGATGGAAAGTCAGTAAGATGCACTTGCGAAATAATATGAAGTAATGCATCACTTACCCAGAATCCCCGTGGAAGAAGCCATGAAAGCCATTTGACCAGACTTGCTTGATGTCCACGCCACAGCCAAGTTTCGGAGGTTGGCTTGAGTAAGTCACTGACGACTTTCTGTGCATAGGTTTCTGTCGCCATGGCCGTTACTGGCACGATGTTAGCATCTTTCTCAACAGATGAGTCTCTTCGACATACTCTGAGAGTTTCCTTGCCGGAACAAATAACCTTCCTCTATGGGCATGTACAACGAATTTGGTGGAAGCCGCTTCTTGACATCTGATATCCTACTCTTCACACCACTTGTGACGACCAGGACAACCTGGACACTACTTGTAGTCAGCTTCTTGCATGATACCCGATCATGTGATAAATAAATACCCCAAAGGTGCCATCTCTAGTCTAAGCGCATCGGTGTATGAATGTAGTGCTGCCTTGGACGCATTATAACATCCTATTCCGCGTCAGCCAACCAGCATCTCTAAAGGGTAAGCAAAAAAAACAGACACATACCACCGAATACGTACGGTATGATGGCAGCAACAGACCCGATATTCGCGATCTTTCCTTTCGCTTCAATCAAAAGGGGGGCCAAAACCTGCACCAAACGGATACAACTAAACACGTTGATTTCGAAAACCTTGCGCATATCTTCGATTGTTAGGTCGAGCACGGGGACGGTGTGGCTCACGCCTCTGCGGTATTGCGTCAGATACTTATTCTCACCCCCAAATCGACTTTCCGCACCAAAAAAAAACAGGATTAAAATGAGGATTAGCACAAGATCAAAAGTACATACACGTTGTTAACGAGAATGTCCAGCTTCCCATCCACACGCTGAGAAATCTCATCACGCAGTGACAGAATACTCGCGTCGGAAGTGACTTCAAGCTGGATTGCTATGACGCCCTCGCTCATAAGAGTCTTTTTGGCTTCTTCGGATCGGACGGTGCCGAAGACTTGGAAGCCGTGGCGTAGGAATTCTAGAGCGAGTTCGTGGCCGATGCCGCCAGGGGTGCAGCTGTGGTTGGGTTTTGTGTTAGGTGTGTTTCTTCCGGAATAGATAGAGGAGATGGAGATGGCAAGTCCGCATACCCTGTAACTAATGCTGTTTTTTGACGAGTGGTCATGTTTTTTATGGGTATCTGTTGCGATAGTGCAGGCGTTGGTGCGTGTTACAAAGGATGCGTTCTTGTGCACTGCAATTTCGTCTCTATGTTGTATTTGGGATTTTGTATTGTCGGTGCAAATGAAAATAGTAATAAGGCTATTTGGATTGCGAGTAAGCGTGAATATCTGTGAATCATTTCCACGAGTATTAAATACTTCATACAGCTTCGGCGATATCTTAAGTCACGGACGTTCAAGCCGCGAGACTCGGCGCTCGGGAGGCTGGGCAGGCCGTCGACATTTCCGTCTACGTAAGCACCGCCACATAAAGGACAATGTACTAAGCACGTTGACTCGTCGCTCTGCTGAGATATCGTTAAATTAAACAACAAATGAAAAATACAAGGTGCTCCTTTGACGCATATCGGTACTCAGTCCCCACGATGCCAGTACCTTCACTACGGCTTGGTTCTAGAGGAAACACGGATTCACTCTGACGGAGTTAGTTGGGACTAAGCACATAAAAACGGGAGACGTAAATAAACAAGAGAGATTACAAGCTATGGTGTAATCATTTTCTTACCCAGAATTTGGAGTTACAGCATGTGATGACGGATTTGAAAAGTGGATGTCGGAGCTCTACCGCCAGCTTGCGTCTCACCATAAGCTAGTAGAGTGCACGTAGACGAGATATCAGCTAAGATTATTCCTGCTCGATTTGAAGAAAAACAACTATCGATTCTTCCATTGTACCCATTCCCAACAATATCCAGCCCCTTCCATACAAAAAGCCGCCAGCACTACAACCTAAAGATGATACTTGAACAACGGGCTCCGATCTCCCATCTTCTCCAGCTGTGCCGGGGTATATATAGCGCGCCACTCCTCCTCCGTCTTTTCCGCATTCTTCTTATTAATCCTGAAGAACAAGAACTCCAGCGTGAACGCACACACCAGTCCCGCTGCAGCAAATGAGAGCGACGAACCGAATCCCGTTTCGTATTTAGGCGACTCTTTTTCCTGGAAAATAAAGGAGCCGACGATGCCTCCTAGGTTGCCGATGCATATCATGGTTGCAATGCTATATTGCAGAGTCAGTTTTCCATTTCTTCCTACGGATTTTGCTACTAGGATGGAGTGAGAAGAAACATACCCAACAGCTCGCTTTTCGGGTCCGGCGAGGTTATTAATGGTCCAGGCGTTGCATCCAGGGAGAATAGGGTAGAGGCCGATACAAGCAACGTGTACTGCAAAGTAGCAAACTGCGACGTTGTCTTTGATGGCTTCTGCTTTGGCGAACAAAATGGCATATGCGACGATGAGAAGAGCTTGTCCGCTGGCGATAAAGGGCATACGCCATGTGAATCGGTCGGCAAGTAGGGAAGATAGTAATGCTGAAATTGCACCACATGCATACGGTGGTGCGGTCATGAGTTGTGCGGTCGTACTCGTGAAGCCCACTGTTGGAATCATAAGTGTGTTTGAAGGGATAAGAGCTAGCCCCATAACTTACTGTTCTTCAGGATCTGAGGCATGGTGAATTTTAGTCCGTAGTTTGGTACAGCGTTACTCGCAAAAACCATGGCCTGCAGGTATATCTGCCAGTCTTTTGCAACCTGTCCGATGACACCCCATTTGACCCTCTCTTTCTTGCCATCAGCATTGACGTATCTCTCGCGCTTCACGCCGCGCGTGACAATGTGTGTGAGGCGAAGGAAGCGCGCTTCGTCGGCTGTGAGCCATCGACCGGCTGCGTGATCGGGCGAGTCTGGTAACAAGAAGAAAACCGAAGCTCCTAATAGAACAGTGGCTATTCCTTCCAGTATGAAGATCCATCTCCAACTTCGTGCCCAATCATATCAGTTCCCGGTGTTTCAGCAAGATGCTTACAACGACACTTACCCCTCAAGTCCAGCAATCCCTATGTCGAATGGTCAATGACGCTCGAAAATCTGCAAAGGACTTACATACCATTCATTTTAGCAATTGCAGCAGCTAAAAGTCCTGAAAATGCTCCACTCGTAGCGGACGCGCAGTAAAACAGCGCCATGCGGAACTGCGTGCGGTCTGGTGGGTACCACTGGCCAACGAGGTAAATAGCACCAGGAAAAAAACCAGCCCTTCGATTGCTTAGAAAAAAGTTGCATTACGCACTTGCGGATAACTCACTCGAACAAACCAAGGAAAAATCTCGTAGCGCAAAGCCCTGCAAGATTCTGTACCAGTCCCATGACGGTCATGACGGTGCCCCAGCACAACGTTAGCGTACCCATGTAGTACGATGGGCGCTTGAACTTTGCGAGAATCATGTTGGATGGAATCTCAAAAAGGACGTAGGGCACGAAGAAGACCATGAGTGCGACGTTGTAATCTGTGCCTTTCATACCCAGAGTTTTCTCGAGGCCTTCGATCTTAGCGTTTCTTTTGTGGAAAGGTTAGCAGGAGCTCAACATGCTTGTTTGAACACAGAGAGGGTCTCTAACCCGATATTTGCTCTGTCAAGATGGGAGATGAGATACAAGACCGCGAGCATGGGACATAGTCGCCAGTCGACCTTGTGGAAAATCTTCTTTTGCTCCGCCTTGTCGACGCTGTAGAGAAACTCTGCATCTTCCTGGCTCAACCCAGCTCTCATTGCCTGATGCAGATGATCTGGCAAGCCTGAAAGTGATGCCTTTTCGTTAGGAACCTCTTCCATGGTATAGGTATGGTCTTTGGACGCAGAATCGTCCATTACATCGCGCGCCATCTTGACTGTTGTTGGCAAAAGTGATGTCGATGGGGAATTCAACAGGCTTCAGCCGACAGAATTGCAAGATGGACGAGCAGGACGTTATACATGACCGCGTATGCTTACCCGTAGTCGTGCCACACATTAGCGAGGACTGCCATTATCCCCACTGTCAATCCGTCATTCACGTGGGCATGCGAATCCGCCATGGAAGCTTGGCACTGTAAGGACCAAAAGCCGGCACCAGAACTGGATCCGAAAGGCTCAAACTGTGTTAGGGACTTCTTAATCTTCATATTAATGCATGAGAAGACCATTTTTATGTGATATGAACGTCTTTGCTTCTAGGTACACTGAGCAAACCTTGGACAACTCTATATAGCCTTTAATCTTTCAGAATGATTTCTCTCTTTCTCAACATAAAGGCTGATCAAACTTCACAGAGCTCAAAATTTCACATCGGAAATCTTACTGAAGATTTTCGTACACGCCAAATGTTTGGACACTTGTGGCAAGAGTTGTCCAACGTGGAATATAAAGCGAGTTGCGCTCCTCGGTTTAGTATCACGTTAGGATTCGACACTTCCAACAATATAGGTTGGACACAGGAGCCGAGAATAAGGGTAACAGTAGCCGATCACAACCACCTACCCAATACAGCCCAGTTGGATGCAGCGTTATACAGGAAATTAGACAACATGACCTGTCTGATATGGGGAGCCAAGCGCTGGGGTAAGGCGGGGATGTGACGTAGCAGCTTCCCACCCCCTCCACGGAAAAGGTGGCAGCACTTAGCGCGGGTAATATTCGGGGATACGCGCTAAGTACTGCCATTTTTCTATGGAGGGTGGGAGGGGGTGCTTTTTTGTAGTGTCCTGTTCTAACGGCAACTCGGGGAAGATATATTCCGGTCGCAGTAGAATTAGGTGAAAAACATACTAGTCTCTTCTCAACTGCCGGTGGTTTGCCAAGCGTCTGCTCGCCTCATACTAGGATTATTGGACGATGCTAACTGACTCGCTGCAGGCCCTATCGCACTATGCCAATAGACTGAATCCATGTATGTGGGCCACTAGCAAGGGGACGACGCAAGTCATGGTAGAGAGCAAGGACTATACTGTTAAGGGTTCGATTCATACTCTTTAGAGTCCGGATGATTCAGAACAGCGTAGTATTTTTCTGTAGTAATAAGCTATCCGAAGAAGAGCCTGATAGTAATCGTTTTAGCATCTCCATAACCCAAAGACTTGCCTTGTACCGCAGTAGGCAAAGCACCTCAAGTTTATTCCATATAACTTACTGTGTACAATAAAGAAATCTTAAATATGGATTCCATGATTAATGACCAAAGCAAATAGCCTAAATTTGAAGTTGAATATTCTTATCTGGGAACAGTACGTAGAGTCGAAGGTTAGTCTTGACCTCAAAAAGAGATCTGCAAAGACAGCGTTTTCGATCTATACGCAAGACATAATGCATGCAAATCCAGGGGAACAAATTTTGCTTTGCAAGCATATTTTACGAAGCTGGACCAGGTGGGGGCAGAGGGGGGCAACGCCAAAGGCGCTTACACCAATACCCTAGACAAGGCAGTCTGGGCGCACCCCCAGCATAGTAACAACTAGGAGGTAAGCATTTTACCTGCTGTCTTGGTAGTTCTTGATCTCCACATCCTCTGACGATTGCACCGTACCAAAGTAGTATTCCGCATCTCGGGCGCAACCCTGGTACATCATCGGGGTGTTTTTCTAGGGACAGAGTCAAAAACCACCGATCTCGAGAGTACACAAGCAAGATAACAAAACGTGATGGGATCCACTGAACGAGGATTGATGCACTGAATCTACCTAAGCACGATGCTCTCGGGAGTTGCTCTAATCACAGTAGCGGGCTCTGGTAATAAGTTTTTCTTTCTTTTCTATTGGGATTGACTAGTTGCAGACCAACTGACGCGGCTTCGCAGGCTTTGGCCAGAGTTCCGCATACTCGCTGGCCCAGCACGGCGTGCGCCAATTTGCGTTGTTTGACACCAACGAGGCTGGACTACAAGAGACAACGCAGACGCTGGCCGCCAGGTACAATGTAACAGATGTCCTGAGCGTGTCGACTGACTGCAGCACCGAGGAGACAGTTGAGGCTGGCGTCGCGCAGGCAGCAGCTCGATACGGCCGTATCGACTTTGCTATCAACAATGCTGGCTTTGGTGGACCCATGTGCGGCAGTCCTGATGCAACACCTGCTTCCTTTGATGCCCACCTGAAAGAGAATGTGACGAGTGTGTGGCTCTGGCATCGGGCCGAACTGCGACAAATGCTACGGCAGCAGCCGCGAGAGGGGCGCTACGGTCGTGGTAGCATCATCCATGTCTGCTCGGTGCATGCATTTGCAGCCTCGCCAACACAGCTCGCCGCCAGTGCCTACGTCGCTGGTCGGCATGCTATCCTGGGCCTCACGCGCTCAGAGGGTGTGCTATATGCGCCCCAGCAGATACGCATCAACGCACTCTGCCCTGGCTATATTGCGTCCCCTCTGATTGAGTCTTCAGAGCACATCAAAACCCTCGTCAATAACCTCGTCCGTGAGCGTGTGCCTGCGAATCGACTGGGTGAACCTGAGGAGGTTGCTGATGCTGTTGTGTTTCTGGCTAGCCCCATGAGCAGCTACATGTACGCTCAGTCACTGGTGCTAGATGGGTATGTGGTGCCTTCTAATTCAATGTGGGATAGAGCACAAGGACTAACTAGCAACAGGGGCTACCTCGCACAATAATATTACGATGGTATTGCGAGATTTCATTGTGTTCGAATGCTGTACGCAGATTTGCCTCTGGATGCTTTAGACACTTGATGTTGGGATTAGAAATAGGGTCGAGTAGTTCACAGACAAACCACAATTTCAAATTCAAAAACAGTGTTTGATGTGTCACGTAGCAATTCTAAAATTGATGTATGATATATTAAACCCTGTATGTATGGGTAGTCTAGTATGATACAAAGTCTCAGATGCTCTCCCTCGAACTCGCACGACGCCGACTGATTCATCTGTTCCACATCCCTATGCATCATCAGAACATAATGCTTGATCCGCTGCCATTCAGCAAAGATCTCTCTTTGAGGCGGCGTATGGATGTGCGTACAAGACGGAGATTGGCGCGCACAATGTCAAGACAAGCTGGGGCAAAGGCCGCCAGGTCAGTGGCGGTTGGGTTCGTCGTGGATGGCTCGGGTAGCGGCGAGGACGTGGAGGGTGTGATTCCAGATGTGATGAGAGCGGCTTCCAGAGAGCCTAAGACAGCAGAGAAATCGGTTAGGCGTAAGATCATGAGTTCAATGCTGAGAGCATCGGCTTCGTCGGCAGCGAGATCGTAGTTGCCAAGGGAAAACCTCCACGGTTGAGGTGAAAGCTGGCTCTCAGAGTGGCTGTTGGTATTGCTGGTATTTCGCCTAGTGTTTGGATTGCTGGTGATCGTGGTTGTTGTGATAGTTGTTGTGGTGCTGCCGGCATCTGCCGATGCCTCGCTGGTAGTATCGTCGTCTGCGAGGTTCCAGAGCCGACACAACCAGTCAACTAGATGGGCACAAAGTATTGTGACAGCAGCAAGCGGCAGCCGCTGCTGGCGGCAATTCTCACAGCTCAGTACGCCGAGGCTTGGGCGCTCTGCTGTCGACGTCACCTGGAGCACGGTTTCGAGAGGGACTTGAGACGATGTCGTGAGCTCTCCCACGCGGGCCAGCGTTCGCAGGACATGAAAGGCGCACCCGCAGTCTTGCATCTTCTCTCATGGCATGCCAGTGTTGCGGCCATTGGACATTTAATGTCGTACCATTAGCAAGGGATTNCCCCGGGCGCCCGCCACCCTCTCAGTCGATCAGTACGTAAAACCTGAAAACCCAGGCCAAGCGAGCTAGCCCACGAAAACGATCCATCTGTACTGCGACATATCGACACCACCGTAACATAATTTTTTTAATAGAATTTGGACAAGACAGATACGCTAGCTCTACATTGACTATATCCAAGTGATAGATAAGGATAATAATACCCGTGGTATTGGGTAATCTTATCTCTGACTTCATCGGACGACTGAGAGTCACCCCCCCACCCCCGAACTAAAAAGCTCGGTATATTTTTCTCTGGCGATCAGCTCGCCTGCCCCAGAACGGCCTTTTTTTCCTATGAAGCAGCAACTCGTTCAATTCGCCGAACCTTCCGTGTAGCGCCAGGGCTGTTTCGTCGGCCCTAGTATCATGACGTTATGCGACCTAAAAAAGACAAGATATCAAGGCAACTATCGCACGACTGGTGCATCATGTCAGAGTAGGGCATACTGACCGGCTAGTCCCCCTTCATCCTTATCCGACCGCCCATCACAAAAATGGCCTTTCTGGACAATCCAGCAGTGGCTCCAGGCTCCACCATCCTCGTAACTGGGGCTAATGGCTTCATTGGCGCCCACGTTGCAGACCAACTACTCTACCAAGGATACAAGGTGCGAGGCACCGTCCGAGATGCTGTTAAGCATCAATGGCTAGCACAGCTGTTCTCTCAAAAGTATGGTCCTGACAAGTTCGAACTTGTCACCGTCAAGGACATGGGAGAGCCAGGCGCATTTGACACTGCAGTCTCAGGTACTTACCCCTAGCTTGGGAACCCCTGCTTCGGTGCTGATCGAATTCCACTGTCTAGGTGTTTCTGCCATTGCTCATGTTGCCTCGGTGAGGAGTATGGATGTCACGCCCGACGAGCTGCTTCAAAATACCGTTGCGGGAATGCTGGCTTGTTTGGAGGCTGCTGCCAAGGAGCCAAGTGTACGGCGAATTGTACTAACCTCCTCTTCCGCTGCGGTCCGTTCCATCCAAGCTTACCGCACTACGGATATGGTGTCATCGGATGAATATGACAACCAAACTCTAAAACTAGCCAGGAACATGCCTGAAGATTTCATGCCCATGCAGAAATTAGTAACAGCTTACTTTGCATCCAAAGTTGCGACCGAACAAGCCTTCTGGAACTGGATGCAAAATAACAAGCCGCACTTTACTGCAAACACAGTGCTACCATGCACCGTTTACGGTAGTCCGCTCGATGTGGCCCACCAGGGCTTTCCGTCTACATCGAAAATCCCGCTCCAGGTTTTGGACAACGAGGCTGTCCCCGTTAAGCATGTGCAACGTTGTACGTAATATTTTTCTTCAGATTCCACAGTTAAATGAATAGCTAATGCGACAGTAGTCTACTACGTGCATGTCCAAGATGTTGCTCGTCTTCACGTTGCCGCCCTGATCCATCCGGACATCGCCGATGAGCGTATTTTTGCGTACGCGTCTCCCTACTCCTTCAACGACTTCTTTGACATCTTTGTGAAATTCGTCCGAAACTACAAGCCCCCAGAGAAGATTCCGGATATCGACTTCCCACTCGCTGAGATCGGCCCGCGGCGGAGGGCGGAAGCGCTGTTGAAGGATCTTGGCAGTCCTGGGTTTGTGGGGCTGGAGGAGACCATAGTTGAAAGCGTGCAGACTCGCATCAATGCATGTGCGTAGTCTACTGGGCAGATTCTGAAAAATATACGATACTAATGTAATTTACGATTGAATCCAAAAATCGGAAGACATGTGGATGCGATGCGCTTTATACTTGCTGACTCGAGCTTACAACGCTGGGATCATACGCTTTGATATATCTCTTTACAGCATGTTACCTGCGCTATGTCATCTTTTAGCGCCAACAGGTAGGCCGTTCTATTAAGAATATAATCTTTTTGTAGACTTGGCTCTCGTTTAGTAAGAGTAGCTCTTATTTCAACGCTATCATTCACCGACGTTCCGTCTATTCCTGCAACTGGTGATTAGATGCTTATTATGGACGATATAAGATATGTATAGAGACAAGGTAAGGGAAATGAAACATTATAATAACTCATAGGTCTAAAGACTCTTTATACTAAAGATGAAATCTTATTTTACATGTTACACAGAAGAGCAGCAAGTACAGTCTCTACTTGAGAATCGATTTTCTGATCAGGTTAGTATTAGTAAGAGGTAATTAGAAAAAAACGACCCTGAGGTGGACACTTTACTGGCCACTTTACCCTGGTCTGACTAAGGGGACGTTTAGTTCTTATCGAAGTGGGGGGCACTTAGCGAATCTCTGCCGCCCCAGCTGATGTGGCCCTTTTGTTTGTTCGGCCCGAAGACACTGACTCTGTACTTTGTACGGTTTCAATCTCTTTTCCAAGCGCTAGGACTATCCTCAGTACGTGTAACCGAAGAAGGCCCTTTTTGATGCGGCTCCCATTTTTGCCGTTTCCCGCGCCAATCGACTGGCTCGATTGATAGATATCACAAGCAATCTGCACGAAACACCACCAAGTGTGACGTACATCAGTCGATCCGGATCGATTGCCAGGGAAGTCGTACGTGCATATAGAACCACCGATTGGATACGAGTTTTAGAACTTTATTCATCATACAACCCATAAGAGTCGAGCGCTGCTTCAATAATAACCGCTTAGTACCTTTTGTTCACTGTATGAAAATCATGCCCGAATAGTAAGCCTCAGAATGTTTTATATGTGCAAATGTCTTAGGAATTTGAGGAAACATATGTACCGCAATATTTCAACTGCTTACTGACTGTTCACTTGAGTATCGACACCGAATCAGGTATCCAAAAGGACTACTCAAGCGTGAAGAGTAGCGCCTCAACGCAAAAACCTCCAAAGTACCGCCTTGCGTGTGACAGCTGTCAGCACTCCAAGATCCGATGTGACCAGAAACGGCCGAAATGTCGCAGATGTGCGAAGAAAGGCATAGATTGTGTCTACAGTCCAGCAAGGCGTGCAGGACGACCACGCACTCGCAACAACAGCAAAAACTCTCAGAGCGCTGAGAATAGTGCACCCGCGAGCTCGAAGGAGGATTCGGTACCTGCGACAGGGTCTGGCATCACCGATTCAGCATCATTGTGGATGTGGACTCCGCACAGCATGATGGCCGACACGTCCGCCGTCCCCATAATGATGCCGACTATTCAAGGGTCAAGCTCCGACAGCATGGATTTCTCTCCAAGTCAACTGTCAGATGATACTTTTCGACACAGCCTATCGGACCTCACCAGTTCACATAGCGATACCTCAAAGGAAATGGGCAATTGCTATTCTTCGATGTCGCCCGAGTTCCACATTGCTCCAGAGCCTCTCGGTATAGACTTCTGTGAGACAACATGGGGGCATCAGCAGCAACAACAACAACAACAACTCCACACCTCTACAGCCATACTTCTTGACGAAGGGGTTTCGTACTGTGAATTGCTTACTCCTAACAACCACCACCAACAACATCATCTGGATCAGCAACATGAAGAACCACCAGTCCCAACCACAAGTGGCAGTAACACTGAAAGTTGCAGCTACAACATTTCTCCACAACAACAACAAACACAACCACAGTTTCCCAATTCCTTAGATAATGGTACTCCGTCGAAAATATCATGCAACTGCGCATCTGCTCTCCTTGATCACCTATCAGCGTCTTCGAAAGCATCACCTACTTCATGTTTTGCTTCGACCCCGACTGCCCTCTCGATATCCCAAACATTCATCACCAGCTGCCGCAACATGATGAAGTGCCCCAACGCATGCTACATGCAGCCTTCAATTACACTCGTCATCTGCGAGGCCATTAACAGGGCACTTGTTGCTCTCAAACTGGGCGGCATCTCACTGTGGACGTCGATGCTGGAACCCATGCCCAACTACGAAAATGGGACTTCGTCATCACCCTCATCATCTTCATCATGCAGCATAAGCGATACTAGTAGTGACAATGCCACCATGCTCCCATCAGTAGATGATGAGCATGAGCCGCTGCGCTGCGGAACGTTACCGATTCGGGGTGCCGACAGGCGAGTCATGGTGCGGGTACTGCTAGTGAAGCGAATGCTCGAGATGCAGGGTGTGCTCGAGCGACTGCGGGACATGCTGGTGTCAGAGCTACTAGTCATCAAGGACTCGACAGTGAAGAAAAAGCTTCTAGCTCTGTGTGCAGATATAGTAGACCAGTCTGCGAAGAAAGTGGCGGAGAAAGTGAAGACTGTAAAGCTGCAAATGTAGGAAGGGATGAATCCGGTGTAACGACAAAGGAGCCAAACGGCTTTCAGGCGTACAGAAGATAATTTTCATATTTTTTCCAGACCTCAGTGGTGAATCACCTGGGCTATGTTGCATTATGGTTAGGCGAAGTCATGCTCGTGAAAAGCACAGTAAGGCACCGTCATGTGATGCACGGTTATAAACCAGGGAGGCATCTTCTTGGAATGCACATACTCATGCACAACTGAGCCCATGCAATCAACTATGATACACCCGTGTTTGACGTCACGTTGTGGTTGTACGTACTGAGTACCTGAGACTGCACATGGTACTGCCTGTCCACACAACTCAACAATCGCCAGCTGGCTGATTGTTTTCCATATAGATAGCTGAGTTTTTTAAAAAAAAAGAGCGAGAATGTATTCAATAAATAGTCTTCGTCGAGTGGTTTCAGATACCTGTTCTATCAGGGGCCTTGTATCCCTAAGTAGATCATGTTGTGCAGAGCACGTGACTTAGCTGCACAGACACGTCAACACTACAAACTTACTCACTCCGGAGGTTGAACCAGATGCCTTTTTAGTGATTCGGTCGGTTTTTTTTCTTCATTTCGGTGCATAGTAGAGGATGCCATGTTGATACGGGAATTTCTATTCTGAGTTCCGCCTGCTATCCCTGAATTGAGCGAGATCTTCTCGAATCACTGCATCGGCGGCCGACAAATAAAAAACCTCCTGATGGCCTGCAAGTAACATGCCGATCGATACACTTATCCCGTCCACCCTGGCCCACATCGTTTTTTAGTCTTGTATAACTCGGTAAGCTGCTCATCACAAATTGCGATAACTTTTCTATCAACAGCCTCTATACCAACCAATCACTGATTTAGTTACAAAAAATGGCTTCCACATCATTACTACCTGAAACCACACGTACTAATCTTGATGACAGTATCGCAGCCGACAGTATCCTCGAATCTCTAGAGTCTCTGGCGGCAGGAAACATTCCCACCTCCCTCCGCCATGATGAGAAAAAACGCTTGCGCTTTCTCGAAGCCGCCAGAATGGCTTCCTTGAAGCTAGAGCAGCCGTGGGATACCATGCAGCGGCTGATCTTCTGTGCTTTGCCGCCCAACATGGCGCAGGTGGGTATTGATCTGGGGCTGTGGAGACTCCTTTCTGAGCGAGAGGGAACGGCAATAAGCGCTAGTGAACTGGCCATCAAATTGGACATTGAAAAAGAACTACTCGTACGAGTAATGCGCTACGCAGCGACGCAGTGGATGGTGGAGCAGGTCGGTATCGACACATATCGGGCCACAGATATCACGCACTACTTGTCCATGTCAGGACTAGAGTCTGTCATGTTCCATGTGTAGGTTGACTTCTTGCTCTCATTGTTTTTGGTGAATCACGATTGACTTTTCCATGTAGGACCGAAAGAAATATTGCAGTCTACAACGCGATACCAAAGTGGATGGCGGACAATTCGTATAAACAGCCTCGCGACAACAAGAACCTCCCATTTCAACTCAGTAAGAACACCAATCTACACTTTTTTGAGTGGCTGGCGCAGCGGCCACGGCATCAACAAGCCTTCAACGAATACATGTCGTTCCAGCGGGTTGGGCAAAAGAGCTGGCTTGATGTATTCCCACTTGAGAAGTATGTGTATGAGCCCAGCGCAGGGAATAAGCACCGAACACTCTTTGTGGATATAGGAGGGGGCTATGGACACCAGTGCCGGGAAGTATTGAAGAGATTCCCCTGGCTGCAAGGTCGTGTTGTGCTGCAGGATACCCACGAGGCAGCTATCGACTCAGCCACTGCCATTGAAGGCCTAAAGGTTGTTCACCATGACTTCACCAAGCCGCAACCAGTTAAAGGAGCCTGCGTATACTATCTACGGAACATCCTACATGACTGGCCCGATCAAGCCTGCCATAATATCCTCTCCCAGATCAAAGAAGTCCTCGATCCTGACTCGGTTATTCTGCTGGATGAGCTCATCATTCACGATGAGAATGCACATTGGTATGGTGCCTCGTTTGATCTACTCATGATGGCCAACTATGGTGCGCGCGAGCGGTCGCTGAATGAGTGGGATCGCCTTCTAAAGACGGTTGGCCTGGAACGGAAAACCTTTGTGCCTTATAGCATGCATGGAGATGGTATTCAGGTAGTTGGTGTCCGAGAAATAGTTCACGAAAAGTTGTGAGTTTCTGGATGTTAGGTATTCAATTTTCCTGGATAACGGTAGCATTATACTTTGCTGGCGACCTTATACCTTACCCTTAGATAAGATCTCTATTATGAATTAAAAATCTTATCTTATTATGCCAGATTCGATTGTTCATTACTTGTTCTTCATTGGCAGTAGGTATCTTCCTACAATCTATTGTTTACTCATTCTTTTCCGAGATTATTTTTTTAGTTCAAGTAGCTTGTTGTAGTCTACATAGATAGCGCCTAAATTATTGACCAAATCTGGTAACAACGTATTAAGCACGTTTGATAAGCGACTGTAGGCACGTGACGCGGTCGCATAAAACTCTCTCCAGATATAGCCCAAGGGGTTCACAAGGGTAGCTCAACCCGATAGGTGTCCCAATTTACAGCAATTACTATTTTAGTATTATAGCTGTTGAAAATTTCCTTTCGAAATGCAATCAATCGCCGCGATGTCTAAGCTGCGAGCAAATCGCGGGGCCTCGGTATATTTTAGTCTTTATCGGACCCCGAGATTTACCTTCACCTTACTAAATTTGTGTATAAAATTCTCCGGCACTATGTACAATGCTCAATTGGATAAACACTAATTTGTACATAAGTTAATAACTATTTCATCCTTTGTTAATCGCAGATCTGCAATCGACACTTCATACGCGCAAGACTGAACCTATACCCCTGTCCCTTATTCTAAACACTATGGCGAGCAACTTCAAGATCGAGCCTCTGGTCCATCCTGAAGGCAAGACATGCAAGGTACGAGTCACCAGTTCCAATAAATACCACAAATATAAATGATTACTACTTACAACAATTGGATTAGTTTGGAGCTGTCATTACTGGTCTTGATCTAAACAATTTTACCAAAGAAACAGCGGCTCAGTTGGCGAAAGCGACATGGGAGCATAAACTTCTTATTGTCAAAGGTCAACATGACCTTAAACCAAAGCGTGCCTGGGAATTACTGCAAGCTCTTGATCCAGAAATAATAAATATGTCGGACGATGAATTGGCCGATTTATTTCACCCTCACCAGTGGTTTAGAGTAAGTTAATAGTGAATCGAAACACCAACATCAACATCAGAGAAAATTCTGGCAAGGTGCTGACATACATTAAGGATGGCTTCCGCTCTCAAAAGGTCCCTGATGCGGGTTTGTTTTACTTTATTGGAAAAGGCCCCCAAGACGACCCGCGCTACGGCAAACCAGGTCTAGACATGGGCGACACTAAGCTAAGCCCTGTCTATAGCGTACCGCTCTCGGACGAGGACTTTGAAGCTGGGCGTACCCGTTTTCATGTGTGGTACATGAACGGATATTATTGGCGATACGATATTACAAAGTTCACCATTCTCCGACCAATCAAGTTTCCTACAGAAGGCCTGGACAAGCAGACTATAGAATGGGCTGACGGCTCAGGTATGACTATGGAAGTCAAGCCAGGACGTCAGGCGTTTTTAGACGTCGAACAATTGTATGAGATGCTCAGTGACGAGGAGAAGAGAATGGCAGACCATAGTTGGGCTGAGTACAGCTACTGGCCATATGAGAATCTCAAGGAATGCCATTATGCCCCGAACGGCCTAGGCGTGGTAACTGAGGGCAAGGAGCAGCCAGAAGAAGAGCTGCTAAAGTTAGGAGGGGCAAGTAAAGACTGGCAAAAGAGGGTATGTTTATACTTGGAGAAAGCCTAAGCTATGAAGATACTAACAACACTGTAGTACCCGCTGGTCTGGGTTAATCCTGTTACTGGCAAGAAGTCATTCCAGTGTATACATCACTTGGTTCGTCGGCTGTTCATTCGCAACGGCCCAGATGAGACTCCGAAGGTCATCGAGGACTTGGGCGAAGTACGGAAGTTTTTGGATAATATTCAGAGCAGAATAATCAAGCCTGAGAACATTTGGGTAGGTCCGGACGAAGAGCACGACTTGATTATCTTCGGGAGCCACGGCCTCCTCCATTCGAATATCGACTATCCCGCTAGTTGGGGTGTCAGGACGATACACCAGGCCTTCATGCCTACAAGCAAGCCACCTGTTGGGCCGGTGCCCATTCCAGATATCTCAAAACAATAAACAGATAATGTAACTATCATATATCTTGCTCAGAACAGAAGGTCTTTTGAACACGATCGACTCTTCCCCTAGCAATAGCAATGTGGTATTCTCTTATGCAAGCGATATAGTTGTTTGCCCCTGCTCCTAGGTACGACCACTTTGAACACATGTCGTTTCTAGAACGCGTGTCGGTTTTTGCTAGTGCAACAGCGAGTGATGGAACAGCAGCATGCAAATAAAATTCCTAAAAATGGGCGGCTCCGGAACGTCGAGATTGGACAGCTGAACCCATCGAGCTGTTTTCAGGACGAAAACCGTCCCCTTCTCATTCCAACTGGCCCCAGCCGCTGCATACGGGCGCCGAAAACCGGCTTGCAGCTTGAATATCATGAAGGCCAGGCCATTGACGAGCCTACAACTCAACCAATATGGACACCAAGCATCAAAGCAATTGAAGAATTTATATCCCACGGATCAGATAAAGAATGTTTTTACTGAAAAAAATCGCGAGAAGATATGGAGTTCCGTGTCCAACACGTAGCGCAAACAGGGTAGCAGTGAGGTGTGATATTTGCTGTGTCACAAAGAGCTCTAAGAGTCTTGATGTGACAGCGAAAATATGCTCCACCGTGCGCATGACGAAGGCTATCAGAACAAACTGTGACCCGTGAGAGATATCAGTGATGGTTCCATGTAGAACTATTTTCAATGCACTCCATGTTTAGTTTCTGCTCGTATTGGAGAGTAAAATTGAATCTACCGATGGATCAGGTGACCGCACGAGGACTTTACGATAAGGCGGAGAATTCCCCAGACTTTGAACACAAGTAGAGCTGATCTTCATATTGAGGACATGATATTTGGGGCTCTCTTCAGAAATGAGCACAGCGAGCTAGAGTTTCGCGTTGCAGGCAAAGAGGTGATGCGAAAAGCCATCATCTTCACTGTAAACAAAAAGGTATGCCTTCTTTATCTTTTTGTATTATATCTTGGACGGTATGCCGGCCAGAGCATGCCTTCCTTGAAGGTCTTGAGACTCGCCCACTATTTTTGCAATCCCATCGTATTGCATTTTGTTATCTTTTTAGCAAGGAGTCTGCTCGGGTAGTACAAAAATAATGGAAGTAGTCTTAAGGATTGAGCTGTTAGACGAATGGAACATTCCAGTGCTAATCAAAGAAGCCCAGGTAATGCATCAAAAGACGTGTGTTACCGTGTTAATATAGCTGTCTAATCCCGGTCTTGTTGTTGTCGCTTTTGCTGGAAATATTCGACCTGAGACGTAGGATATTGCAGCCTTCAAAATGGGGCATGGATTGCCTGCTTCGGATAGAAGTGTACTTTAATTTGGTCTCAAATTCTTTTTAGGCGCTGCGAAAAGAAATACTAAAATTTATGTGTAGTCTAGCCACGTAATACTACACTACCACTATACAGGGTATTTCTAAGCTTCCAAAACAAAACAAGAAGGGACATTTTTGTATGTAATGGGGAAGGAAGGAAGNAGAGGGGGCAAATTAATTTTCTTAGTCCTTTCAAGGGGCGATTTCTCCCTCCTCTGCCAACGCCTCACGCATAGACTTGCTGTTGGGGTCAAAATATGGCTTCTCGCCAATGCCGCAGACGCGGTGACCAAAGCGCTCGCCAAAGTCATCGTAGTCCATGGTGGCATTGTGGACCATGCTGCGGTTATCCCAGATGGCTGTTGCACAGGTTAGTATCTGGCCGCTTGTATGTATGTATATACGAGGGAAAGATGGGGGGATGTATGCCTCATCAAAGAAACAAAAGAAAACATACCCATGTCATTTGGACCCTGCCATCTGAAGCGGCACTGCAGATCGTGGTTGCGGAGCACAATGTTCATGAGCCAGTCTAGGATCATGTCGCTCTCGGGGGGAGTGAGGCCATTGATAGAACCGGGCTATTAAAAAAATGTTGAGTTAGTCAAGAGCATGGGGATCAGGCTGAGAGATTTTGATTTGATAGGGTAAACACGTACGTAAGCGCCGATGGCGAAGACACTCTTCCATCCCGTAACGGGGTTGGTGCGAACAACAGGGTGTACTGCCTTCATGGGAGTGCCCGTGTTCTCAGGGTGGCCTCTTGCATCGGAGTAGACTTTGATGTTTGCGTTCTTGATAATTCGCTCAAAGACTGTCATGTCATGGGTCAGCCATGCAATGCGTTTACGGGGATTTTGAGCATTCCGGCTTACAAGGTGCAGTGTAGTTGGCAGTATGCTGTTCAAGAAACTTTCGCATCGGCTCGCTGAGGCGGTCGTAGACCTCGTAGCCGGATGCCCATAGCGTGTCTGGATTGATTCAGTTGGCGTGGGTATATAGCAATGTAGTTAAGGGGCTAGCGTACCTCCTCCGGCAGACGGCAGCTCAGTTAGCCGTAGGCATGTGTAATCCGAGGGCACTTGCTCAGACTGAATGTCACTGTGCCATGACTCGAGGGCCTGTCTTGCGTTTCCCAAATCACGCGGAGTGGCCTTGCCATTGACAGCTTTCCTCTGGCGAGAGTTGATGGTGCTGATTTCGAGGTCATCGCCGCCCATAGCTCGCTGGGGGTTGAGCACGGGATGAATGTGCAAAGTTGATTCCTTAGGCTTGCCGACGAGCTCACCCATACGTTGGATCATCTTCTTTTGGATATCATTGTTCATATCATTCTGGTTACGAAAAAAGACAACTCCACGTCGAGATACTAAAAAGGAACATCCATTAGTTCCGTCTTCTCGTGGGAAATATGACTGCCCTCTTACCTGTTATGGCGAGGTCTCTAAGCAGGTCATCGGAATTGGGCGCATTCATCATATCAACAAGGTTTGCTTCTGGAAACTCTGTGCCGACAGTAGGTGTAACCCTGAATTGTTTTAGGGGCTTAAGAACGCCCTTCAGTTTCAAAGGTTCTGGAAAGCTCGTTTCTTGAGCAAACCCTCTGCGCAAGCATGGCGAGCGAGTGGACGACAATAATGAGGGACGAAGCGCTGGTGCAGCGCGGCAAAGCAGGACATTCGCGGTTCTCGACATCGTGACTTGTGAGGTGTCTACTATGTGAAGGTAAACGATAACATGAAGCAAACGATTATATTCTTCATGTATGTCGTCTTTGCGACTGTAATATAAAGTTCAAAATCACCGCCCAGCCACCATTGGAATACCAGCTAGTCGGTGTATTTTCCCTGGTTTATTATGGTGTGCGGTGCATATGTCTAGGACTGTATGAGCACGAGCTAAGAACGGTAATCACTAAACTGTTCAGACGATTCCATGATCCGGCTAGTACTAAGGTAAAGATGGTTTAGCGTGTCGGGTAACCACGTGCTAACTCACACTGCTATAGCTAATGCACGATGACCCCACTGTGGTTCGACGCGTAAGTGTGTTTGGTCGGTGCATTTATGGGACATCGGTCCGACCTCACTCGACGGACCATTTTCTAAGACCCTCCCATGCCCACTGTCGAGCATAGTCATGGTCCCTGATGCTACAGCTTCATTTACTCACCGAGGATGCAGTTGGCGGATATCTTCAATTGACCGTATGACATGGTGCTTCAGCCGGCAGTTGTAGAAACCGAGAATTGATTAGTATACTACAATTCGTTTTCCGTATTTGAGATGTTACCATACATGGGTACATAGTTTCCCTCGTCATCCCACTCTTCTTTCTAGGACGTGAGTTGGCTGTCCAAAAAAACTTAGTTCCTCACTATTTTCTCAACTCTGCCATCCACTAGCAGGAGATTTAACGTTACCGATTCAGCCATGGCCAAGAAACTCATTGTGATTGCCGGTGCAACGGGCAATCAGGGTTCCGCGATCGCCCGTGGATTGATTAAAACGGGAGACTGGCATATCCGCGCCGTGACCAGGAATGTGAATGGAGAGAAGGCAAAGAAACTCGCTGCTGAGGGTATGGAGGTTGTCCAGGGTGACTACAATGATGAAGAATCTATGAGGAAAGCCTTCGATGTAAGTTGTTCACTCCATCTGCTCTTCGTTGGAACAATGTCTAATGTGTCACTAGGGCGCGCAAGCCATTTTTGCGGTGACCAACTGGTGGGATGGTCTCTTCAGGGGCCACAGTCTGACTGAAGCTGGTGATATCGAACACGCCCAAGGTATCATGCTCGCGAAGTTGGCGTCTCAAGTGAATACATTAGAGCATTATATCTGGAGCACATTGCCAAACGGGGAAAAGATTACCGAGGGAAGAATCCCTGTTCCCCATTTTGACTACAAGGCTCGAGTCGACGACTACATCAAAGAAACCTTGCCAGAGCTGGCTGCTAAGACAACCTTTCTCATGTTTGGTTTCTATCCATCCAACCTTGCGTTTTTCTCTATGTTGAAGCCAGTGCCAGTAGTAAGTCGTCCTCTCCTAAGCAAACACGTTGTCTACCTGGCTAACGAAACTGTCGATAGAACAATGCTCCAGGAAAATATGTTTGGATGCTTCCAGCACCTCCTTCCACTCTTTATCCGATGGCTGGTGACATGAGTAAAGACCCAGGTGTCTGGGCAAGGCAAATTTTGGCTAACCCCAAGCTATCACATGGCAAGTACGCCGCCGTATGCACCGAGGTTCTCAGTCTTGGGGAGGTACTCGCAACATGGTCTGAGGTTTCAGGAAAGCAAGGTATATATGTGGAGATAAAAGATCACATTCTCGGCGATCTGTTTGGTGTACCCGGAGAGGAGTTTCTTACTGGAGTTAAATTTGGTGTCGAAGTGCCCGATTGGTGGGTGCAAGCTAAGAAGCAGGGTCTCTTTCTCACCATGGAAGATCTGGGTATCTCAAGAGACGAGGTTTCCGGCCTCAGGCAGAGTCTGGAGGCTGTTAAAGAGTTTTTGGGTTAGCCGTACATATACCTCTAGTATCTTTGCTTCAGCTAAGATTAGTAAATCATTAAGATAGTAGAAAGCAATGACGATTGAGCGCTGTAATCCATTCCTCTTAGATGTATTTATCTACAGAAAACCCTATTGAATTTTTAAACCCGTGCTAATATTAAAGATTTTCTTGAATAATATTCAACAAAGATGAACGGTTTCGGAAATTTTGCATAGATCTGCAGTTGAAGACATATCTACCTTTCTCTATTATCACATCTTTATGATACTCCAGGTACTTTCTTGAATAGTATTTAACTTAAAATACATCATTTAAGAGCTTCTTGTTTTTTTTTTGAGTTGTATTCTACTAATCTTAAAGAGGAAAAAAAGTTCATGTTTGTCGTGGGCTAAGATATTCCTTTGCGCTTCTCAGGTTACTCATCACTAGGTTCATGACAGAAGACTGAGATATGCTTATTTTCGATTGTCTAAGCGCCTATGAATCCATTTCTATATAAATGCATACTTCATCTAGCGACCACTAACATTCCATCCATTGTTATGATTTTCCATTTTGTACACAACCTGACCAGAAATCGTTTGCATTGTCAAAGCGCCAGACTTACAAGTTGTTCACGATAAGTTCTCCCGACAAGCCAGCCAGCAAAGCGCCACTCACCCACCACTGGCTGTACACGAAGAAGTCTCTGCACATACGCGGGTTCCACACATCAAGCCGGGCCAACATGACAAGTGTGGCGAGGGAAGCAAAGGCAGCGCCAACCTGGAATGGGCCGCGTATGAGACGGCCGCAGGATACGGTGACCCACAAGAGGGCGGCCATGGCACCCGCAAGGGACAATAGGAACAACTTGGCTTGGCGATGCACAGCCACGGCTAGCGAGCCCACGCCTACCTTGAGATCGTCCCGAATATCCTGGAAGGCGTAGACAGTGTCGTAAGTGATGTTGAATATGACCTGGGCAGCGAATATGGCAAGCGTGGCCTTGTTGCGGTCCTCGTTGTTGAATTTCGAGACGTGGTCAGCTCCATAGCCATCGGCGACAGCAGCGTCAACCAGGAAGATAGCCCAGCCTACGGCGGTACCAAGGCAGAGCTGCGGGAAGTTGGAGACGCGCTTCATGAAAGGGTAAACAAGGGCTATGATGGTGACGAATAGGGCGTGCTGGTTTGCACGAATTGACAGCGTTGCGTAGAGTAAACAGTGGCGAGCGAGGGCGACGACGAGTGTGGCAGCGAGTGCTTCTGCTGTCGTGATGGCACCACGGGCGAGCGGTCGCTTCTTGCAGCGCTCGACCCGGCGATCAAGATCTTGGTCGACGGTGTCATTCCAGGCGCAGCCGAAACTACGGAGCAGCAGGCCATCGAGCAGGAAGACGGCGCTGAGCTTGAGCCAGTCGACTGTGGAAAGGCCCCTCGGGTTGGTCAGATTGACTGAGTAGAGGAAGCCTATAAAGTAGGGGAAGTAGAAGCCTAAGAGACCAGCGGGCTTGCTGAAGCGTGTGAGCTCCAAGTAGGGTCGCCAAGAAAAAGCTCGAGGGGCCAAATGCTTAGGCCTTGACGAGATGGATGACTGTGGGGCGATTTCAGTCTCCGTGATAGTGGACTGGGTCGTCGACATGTTGTCTATGTAACTCCACTAGGATGCAACAAATGGTCAAGAATATTGAGTAGCAGAATATGCTGGGTATGGACTGTCTGTGGATGTCTAACATTTGGAGTGCAAACCCGCTACTTAAAATATACAGTCTCCTCAAGTTGAGAGAGCATCGGATATGCATCAGTCCGTTGTATTGTCCGTATGTCGAAACAACCTAGAAACGGCACGCAATTGTTTCGGCGGGTTTGAGTGTTTATCGGTAGATTTGTTGTCAAAGAAATGGTGGAGTAAGAGGTCGCCGGGAACCTCGAAGCAGTTAGCCTAGTCAGAGCCTCCACATATGCTTCCTGCACATTGAGCAAGTGGGTCAGGCTTGTAATAATTTTTCCATCGCATCCGTATGGGTGCATGCAATGACAAAAGAGTCAAAAATATGTACAATTGAGTAGGGAATGAAGAAGAATTCACTATTGTTTTTCCTCTAATTACAATAGCCAATTCGTAAGTAGATAATAGGCTGTTGGGCACTACTCTTAGAAATGATGAACCTTTGTCGGAGTCATTTTGATTTTGCACTCATTGCGGGAGGGTGTTTTCTTTTCCGCGGATGAACACACTAAGCGTAATGGATGATTTTCCAGACAAGGAGCTCTTTGGAGCCTAGTGTATCTGTTGTGCTTCACTAACACAGGAATGGTCTCGTCCTGCAGAAAAATGATATTGAAACATGCAATCCAACAATTGGCTACTGCAAGCACGGTAGCGATTACCAAATCATTCGTACGCATCTCGAGTGAATATAATCCCGTTGGAGTGACGTATGGTCCTATAGAATCACGTAATATTAGTAGTGCTTGATCTTATAAATACAGACAATATGCATAGTTTACATGATGTCCAATGCCCAGTTAGAGATGAGCAGTTGGGCCATGGCAGTGGGATCAAATCTTTGGTTATATTAGCTTACATGATGGAGCAAGGTCTCGCCTTGGCATCCCCAAGTGTTTATCCCACAGATAGTGAGCGACTATGTGGTAGTTAGACTGGTATGACAATGTAGTGGTGTAGTACCCGGTATGGATAGTGCACGGGCCAACATGTGGCACCCACTTTACTTAGTAGTTGGACGGAGGATTTTGGTGTAATGTCGGACCCCGACATGATTGCCCCACCACCCTGGCCTCTGTGCATGATCGATCCGGGCGGACTAAGGATGGGGCAGACGATGTGGAAGAGACGGGGTAGCACATATGGAGGAAGGAGAGCATCGGGGTGATAAAAGGGCTCAGCTTGACCAGTCAAGGGCAGACTGAGGGAAGCACGTCTTGTCACCCTCGCCACGGCATTTTGATCTGATATCTCATCTATTTTGCAAAGAGGAACAGAGACCGGGCAGAACAACGATGGCTATGGCCGAGAAGAGTGAGCTGGAAGCGCGATACGCGCAGGAGCGAGACAAGCGAATGCGGGAGGATGGCATGCTACAGTACAGCCGCCTACCCAGCGAACAAGAGAAGCCGCTCTCTGACGACCCGTGGGTGAAAGATGGACTGGAGAGGGGACCTCTCAAGGACGGCGACGATATACAGTTCCTTATCATCGGGGCAGGCCACGTTGGGTTGCTCACAGCAGGACGGCTGGTCGGGGCGGGCTTCTCGTCCAAGGGCATATGCCTGGTGGACGTGGCAGGTGGCTTTGGCGGGACATGGTACTGGAACCGGTATCCTGGGCTGCAGTGCGATATCGAGAGTTACATCTACATGCCCTTCTTGGAGGAGACAGGCTACGTGCCCACGCGCAAGTATCCGTCGGGCGAGGAGATCCGCCAGCACTGCGAGCGGGTGGCTGGGCACTTTGGGCTGCGCGGACAGTTCTCGACACGGGTGCTGGATGCGACGTGGGACGAGGAGCGGCGGCGGTGGGTGGTTCGCCTGCAACGAGAGCACGGCGCTGGGGCGGGCGAGGTGTTTACCGTACTGACACAGTTCCTCATGCCGTCCAGCACCCTCTTCACGGCGCCGCGCATGCCCCGGCTGGAGGGCTTTGAAAAGCTGCAGGCCAAGATTCCCGTCTTCCACACGGCGCGCTGGGACTACAGTGTCACGGGCGGCTCGCCGACGGACGCGACGCTGTCAGGCCTCAAGGGCAAACGTGTGGGCATCATGGGCACCGGCTCAACGGCGGTGCAAGTGGTACCTGAGGTTGCGCGCTGGGCCGACCAGCTGCACGTCTTCCAGCGAACGCCCTCATACTGCGGCCCACGCCATCAGAAGCAGACCGACCCAGAGACATGGACACGTGATATCGCTACCGGCCCCGGCTGGCAGCGCGCCCGCAGCCTCAACTTCGACTCCTTCTTCCAAGGCGACCACCCCCCGCCAGACCACCCCGATCTCGTCGCCGATGGCTGGACCCAGACGGCCGCCAGCTTTGGCGGCTTCATTGGCGGCCCGCGCATCGTCTCCCCCGACAAGGTCGACGAGCACGTGCACAAACTCCGCCAGATGGACGACCTGCTAACCCACCAGGCCCGCGCAACCATCCGCCACACAGTCAGCCAAAACAAGGAGGCCGCTGAACGCCTGCAGCCGTGGTACCCCATGTGGTGCAAGCGCCCTACCTTCCAGGATGACTACCTTCCCACCTTCAACAAGCCCAACGTCAACCTCGTCGACACCGACGGCCATGGCGTCGAGCGCTGCACCGAGCGCGGTCTCGTCGTCAACGGCGTCGAGTATGAGCTTGACGTGCTCATCCTCGCCACGGGCTTCCTGCTGGCCACTGGCGAGTTTGCTGCCCCTGCTGAGTTCTTTGGCATCCCCGTCGTTGGTCGCAACGGTCGCCGCCTCAAGGATAAGTACAACTCGCCTGACTTTGGCACCCTCCACGGTATCGCCACAAACGGGTTCCCCAACCTACTCTATGCTGGCATTGGCGGTGGTCCCGGCTCACCTAACCTGACCGTCGTATTTGATCTAGAGGCTACACATATTGCCAAGGTCCTCAAAACAGCTGCCAGTCGTGTGTCGGACCCAACAAAGCTTGTCATTCAGCCTAGCAAACAAGCAGAGGACGCTTGGACAGACGAGGTCGAGAAGCGTGCCCTATGGTATTCAGTCGTGCTCCCCTGCACCCCAGGCTACTTTAATCATGAGGGTGCCACGACGCGCAATGCTGCTAGCTCCCCTGAAAAGCGCCGCCTAGCCATGCGAAAGGTGCTCTTTGGCGGTGGCACCGCCCTGTATGAGAGTATCATCAACGAATATCATGCCAAGGACGGTAATCTTGAAGGCTTTGAAATCTCATGAAAGAAGAGTCATGATTTTCCTTAATTCTACAACGTAATGCAAAAAGAAGTTCCAACAACTTTGATGATTGGCGTTTCGAAAATTGCCAACTAGACGCGTGCAGCTTGTGATATGTTTTGTACATGGGCAACAAACATAGTTGAGTTGGAGTGAATTTGAGATGAAATCTTTGACCAAGTTGCGAAAGGATCGGGATATGAACTAGCTTGATCAACGGGGTCTATGTCACACAGCTCAGAGATTGTCAATTTCAAAAGGGTTGAAATTATTGAACATTCTGCTGGTAAAGCCACTCGACTTCACTTCTCTATAGTTTGCTCCTAACCACAAAGTCACAACAACAAACAAAACCCGATAGACATAAGGATGGGAGAGGTAAATAGCCTTACTTCTTGGCCCCCGACCTCGCCAACTTCCTCATAAAAGCATTCTGGACACCTTTTGTTCCCTTGAGCTCCTTGTTCCTGCTCTTGTTGACCTCCATGTACGCCATAGTCTGTCCGCCGGACAATTCAGAAAGTGTGCCAGCCGCTCTCCGCACTCCAAACTTCTTCTTGTTGCCCTTGTTCGAAGCGTACTTTGTGCCAAACGCATCGCCTTCAATTCTTTCCTCCTTAGCATCCTCTTCACGGGCAAGCAGGACATCCATGAGTAGCTCTCGCCGCTCTTGTGGTGTCGCGAAGGCCAGCTGTGAGAAGTTTTCGAGTCCTTCAAGACGGGTGATGACCTTGAAGGCATATCCTTGATCAACAAGGAAGGCTTGTCGCTTGGATGAGTAGTACATTTCATCCGTGTCCTTGGATACTAGTGAGTAGAAGAAGGCGTTGAAGCCCTCGTCGTTCCTCCTCTTGGCTCGCAGAATTCTGCCTAGTCGCTGCGCCTCTTGACGACGTGAACCGTAATGTGACGAGATTTGAATCAGACATGTCGCTTCTGGAAGGTCTAAGCTGGTGTCGCCAATCTTGGAAAGGAAAATAGTGTTGACAAGCTCGTTGTGTTGAAAGTTCTCCAAAATGCGAAGACGTTCTTGTTGTGGAGTTGCGCCGTAAATGTAGGCTTTTCCAAGCTTACGCGAGTACTTCTCCAGGGCGTACACATTGTCTGAGAAGACGATGATCTTGTCGCCTCGTGATTCGTGGTAGTTGATGAGGAACTGGCAAGCTTGAAATTTCTTTGGGTTCATAATTGAAAGCAATGCACGCTTTTGCAGCGACGAAGGCTTGAGCCATTCAGTGTAGAATTCAGGCGTCATTTGACACCAAACTTCTGCACACTGCACTTTGGCGATATGTCCTTGTTCCGACAATTCTTGCCAGTTGGCCTCGTAAAGCTTGGGGCCAATGAGGAAGTTAAGATCGTCAATCTTGTCATCTTCTCGAAGAAGAGTGGCGGTCAAGCCGAGTTTTGCGTGTGATGCAATCTCATAGGTGACCTTTTTAAAAATGTTGGCAGGCACCACGTGTACTTCATCAGCTATCAGCAGTCCCCATTCCTGCCCACGAATGAATTGCATGACCTTCTCCGCATCGTGCGAACGCTTCCTGGCATTACTAATCATGGAGTAGGTACTGATGATGATACCAGCCTGACGAGGAAAGCGGGTCTTGTTGTCTGCCGTAA